TCTCATGGTGGAGAGAATATAGCGATGGTGATATTAGCAAGATAGAACAAGAGATGCAACGAGCATGAAAAAGAAAGAAAAAAAAAAAAAAAAAAGGGGAGAAGATAAAGATGGAAATGATTAAGTGGTTTTTTTTTTTTTTGTTTTGTTTATTTTTTTTTTTTTAATTTTTTTTTTTTTTTTTTGCAAAAAAGACACGGTAATATGTCAAAGACCACTCTATACCAGCCTACGCGTAGGTCTTGGCCTTTGAGCGTCGGTTCAAAGCGGAAAAAAGAAATTGTATAAATGAAATTTCGAGTTAGGGTAGGCTCGGGTGGGCTTCCAGAGGGATAAGAGAGGAGTAAGACAAAGCGGTTTAGTAATAAGCGGGTTAGGAATGGATTAATGTAGGTTAATGGATTAATGTAGGCTAATGGATTAATGAGGATCAATGTCGATTATTGAACACACGAATTAGTTAATAGCTAAAAATGAAGCTTAAACGCAAATGCCAAAGCAGCATCGTAAACCGAAGCAGGTTACCCTTCCATCTCACTAACGTCAGCAAATGGTACGTCAGGCCCAGCTCGTTCTTCTTCTTCTTCTTCTTCTTCAAATCTCTTGGTTAAAGCCAATAGGAATATAGTTCATGTTCATTCCGCCCCCTAGATTCGATCTGTTCAAAACGAGTTAACCCTGGCAATACCCGGTCAAATAGGTCTTGTTCGATATCAGCAAAATGATTTTTTGCGTGGATTGGAATGGCTTACGTGTTTACTTGGTGGCTACCTGTGGGCATGTGGGTTTATATACGAGGCGTACATGCTGGGTATTTATAGGGCTAGGGTAATTACCACACACAGCTGTTCATTTTTGGCTTAGAATTTCTTTTTTGGCGTCCAGATTGGTGAAATGTTGGCTTTGTTTTGGGGGGTATGGCTGACTAACCCTCGCGCTAAACTCCTTTGGGGGCGGCCGACGAAACAACAGCAGCAGGACCAGGTACCGGTACCCTAAGAACCGACGGCACATGCATATAATGGTGTGCTTGTTGGGACTACTATTTATATAGCGTAGTGTTCACCGTGTTTGAAAGGATATAACGCGAATACAGTCGAGCCACGGTGTGTGATGGGTCGATACACATTGCAAATCCCATGGATGCCACATGAAGATGGACAATCCTGTGTTTCGCTAAATGGTTCACAGATTGTATCTGACCACAGAGACTTGCAGGCATACCGTCGAGACGCCATAAGAGCCAGGATGTGGGCCAGTTGATGATATCATCTACTGTTGTTCACAATGACACAAAATTGTGCGCCGCCTCAGAGCGCGACGGAAGAGAATCCCCCGGTCCCATGTTTATTTTCTGGGTGGCGCTTGGCACTCGGCGCCGAGAGGACAGGTAGTCCCCTCGTTTTGACAGCACGAATCCGCGACCTACGAAATCGGCCGGAACCACGATTATCATGAGAACCTAGGAGCCCCTTGTCTGGTTGCCTAGAGCCGTTATTACTTTTGGTCCACGCCTTTGTTGCGCGCTTTTTCTAAGCTGTTGCTCCAGAGTAAAAATAATAATCATTAGAAGCTTACGTACTAGTGGTATGAATGCTTGTAGATCTGGGTATTAACAAAAATATTAAACTCAGGCCTTTAGGAGAGTAGGCAATATATTGTCATGCAGTCCGGCGTGATATGAATAATCTCTCTTTTTGTCTTGTCCGCCATGTTGGTTTTAGGAAAAAAAATCAAGAAATCGATTAATTAACAATAAATGAGTAGGCAAATCGCGAAAATCGTTTCCTCCTTTGGAAAGTCCACAGTATTCCATGTACAAGCATCGTGTTTTAGACATGCTTAACCCCCTTGAAGGCAGCAATTGAATTTTACAGTGGTTAATTTTTGCTTTACCAAAAATATCTACTCTTTTCGTAGATGGTGTGGAGATTACTGTCAGGGTTGGTGTCAATAATAATTATATATCAGAATGGCGTTTTTTGTATTAGAAAATCTACGTTTTTTTATTATTCCCATTGCCATGGGAATCTTTGATCGTACTCGCAGCTACAGTGGGGTATAAAATTAGAAGCTTCATCCATTATGATAGACTAAAAATTTGGAAATCTGTTATTGATGGCCTGGAATCTGTGTCTTTTTTTTTTTTTTCGGATTACTGATTTGACCTGATAAATCTGCCACTATTGAAAGACAGTTGGTTTCATCTTGTTTCAACTCGATTAAACTCCCATAAAAGCACCCTGATCAAATGCTCTAGTGTGGTCATTTTCGGCCAGCACAAATGCAAATCAGTTGGAATACGTTGAACAGGTAAAATTCATGTCAAATACCTGACCAAACAATTGAGTGCTTAAACAACCCGCTGCACAAAAGTCCCCCAGTATATTGAGCTGATTACGACTTAACCTAGCCATATACACGGTAAAGCTCTTCACGTTTTAGCTAGCTAATGAACCCTCTAGACGTCAAAGTCTGCGCGAGTGCCTGGTCACAATTAAACTATGCATCCGATAAACATTTAACCCCTTTTTCTTGTACATGCATGAAATAATTCAAACGCCGGTACGTATGAATGTAAGCACACATGAAAAAGCCCTAAGTTGCCATCACGCAGTACGTTCAAGATCCCAGACTTTCAAAAAAGAATTCCCCAGGCGAATCCTACCAAAAAATCAAGCGTAGCTCTGGACCATACTCTACTGCCATCAAACAAAACAAAAAAGTGGAGACGATTTTTCATGCGTTCCAACTCTGAGGAAAATGTCTAATCCGCCCATGTTTTTTTCTAACCCTGATTAGCTATAATAGCTAATCCTATTTCCGGATTATTTAAAAGGGTGTAGAGGATGACGTCAGCAATATTATGCATTGTTAAAAAGCCTAGACGTGCTTAATCTATGCCGCCATTATTATTTTGTTCACATTGGTTTTCATTGGTCCGTTTGCGTTACGGGTGGATGCTATCAGCTGACCGAGAGGCTTTGGCACACGCTGGTATCGTGTCGGTTGGATTAAATCTGGGTCCACATAGATGGCTTTATGTTTGGTATGAGAAGTAGTCGCGAGGGCCAATGTCAATCAGGGAAAAGCGGTCATTAAAATATGGTCAAGCGATGAGTGCACAACCACACTGGTGCAGACAAAAAAAAAAAAAAAAAAAAAAAAGGGATATGATCAACCGTACCTATGAAATCTGCCAAATCTAAGCACTCAAACCTGCTTGGTTTCTTTTCAAAATTTCAAAATCTTTAACTTGCAACTCTTTTTGCCTACTTTAATTTTGGCCTTGTAACGTTTTAACTCGCATCTTGATGCCACCAAATCAGTCCCGACTTAAGCACATAGTAGTACACCAACCACAAGTATTCCAGCAATTTATATAGCAATTTAAATCAGTTAAACAAGTTTTCCACTCATATTCACACCATTATAGCCCTTGGACCTGTAAGCATTTAAGAAACTACATGTCAATTGCCCCTTAGTACCTTAACAGCATAGATTATTGTCAGTATAAAACGAGTGTCAAACTTTTCTAGGCTCTGTACACTTACCCGATCATTGACGTGAACAAAGCAACAGGCGGCTGTAACTTTTATGAAACTGAAACCAGCAGCGATAGCTTCGCAACTACCAACCTGTACTTCCAACATAAATAACTAAAATATTCAGAAAATTTTACGAGTCTAGACCTAACAAGTTGGTAACACAAACTCTGAACGTCCCTGTTTTTCTTTTAAGGGTGCAAATATTAACATACACTCTCAAAACAGTACTTATAACGTACATTACAATATCAAGCATCATAGCGCAGCCTAAAGGAATCCCGGCAGAAATGGAAACTAGAAAATTATAAGTTACATGTATTCTTGGGCCAATACAACAGGAAGACAGTAGTATAGTTTATTGTACTAATTATCTGTAAATCTGGATTTGAGTAGATTATGTAAAAATGCACGGGGTGATAATGGTAATGAATAGTGCCAGCTATCGATCGCCATTTTTACCCGAGCCTGCCACCTGGTGAATTAGTTTTACGAGGACCATACCACTAGAGAGTCACAATGTAGCTGAGATTTGAGTGAAGAGTTCTCCTTTTTGTTTCTTGTGATATCTGCTTCATCACTCCTGTGTCTGCTGGCCAATGCAAGTCCAGATCCTACTATGAAAGAAACATGGGCATCTTAAAGAAGCTCAAAGCGCCGTTACTAAATAGGTCCCTTCGGTCTTTTTCATCTTTACACGTAGGTAGAAGGTCTGTCCTAATATTTAGAAGTTGACCAAATAAAATTAACAAATGCAAAAACAAGACACACAGCATTGAAAAATCTGGTTTAATAATTAGTTCATTATAATTGCATCAAATAGTCACAAATAAGAACTTACTCTAGCCTCAGAGAAATCCATTTGTTGGCTATCGAACTTTTTCATGACGTTAAATGTCCTCGATAAGCTTGTGACCCTCTTCAGTCTCAAACCTTGTAGTGTGGTCACGTGCACTCTAACAAAATATGTTTGCATCCTTTGAACGCTCGTTGAAGACATCGAGCTCTTGTTTCCAGGTGGTCATCTTCTTGACCCTGCCTCCAACTGCTTCTTGGATAGATAGCTAATCAGTTTATTGTCCTTAAATCAAAGGGTTACATACAAAATTACAAAACAAAACGATATACAAAGAAGACATGAAATTTCAAAACATTTGTCTCTATGAGACTGGCAAAGTAGCGGTATCAGTGCGCGCAATAAGTTCAGACGTTTGATGGCGCCGAATTCTCCATGAATATCTTCATGTGCTAAAGGACATAGAAGACGGACTCTTCAATATGACTTCTAACAGTCTTGGTGGCAAGAATGTTGTTATTTGTTGTTATAGTCCTTTTTTTGCTACTTCAAAGGATATGACTTGGGTTTTAAACCTCTTGGCCTATATTTGGAGTACTATTTATTTGTTACAGTCACTTTGATTTTGTAGATCTGTGAAATTTAACAATCAGAAAAACGGTTGTATAGTGTAGTGGTGATCACATCGGATTCTGATTCGCATCTTATATTCCGGGAACCCCGGTTCGATCCCGGGTACGACCTATTTTTTAACTTTTTTTGATACGAGTAGTTATTCTTCTACCTAAAACTTTCTCTTCTTCTAGCCATCTATTTTGCCGTCGTCTCTTCAATCATTGCCACCGTTCTTCCATTGTGCGCATGAACCCCCTGGTCTTCTGTTATTGGAGATCCTTTTATTTTCTCTGGGTTCTGTTGTTCTGAGTCCGATCGCTTCTTTATTCGGCCCTTGTCGCAACCCCATTTTTTTGCTTGATCTGCCTCTCAAGTTCATCCGCCATATCCAAGCCCTTTTCCCCGATCAGCTCAATCTAGACAGCAACGTCTAGCATTAGGAATCATAATGAGCAGCCCTGATCACGATTCCAGCGAGGTTCTGGAGCTTTATTCGTCGCCCCCAGAAACAAATGACTTTTCTATTGTGAACGTGGAGAGCGTAGATCCCATAAACCTTGACGATGACAACGACGATGACAACGACGATAACAACGACGACATCGTGGAGATCTCCGCCAACGCCACGCCACAGTCAGAAACATTGGCTTCACGGCCACCAGCAGGCATCCGCCGCAACTCTGGCGGTGATGACCTCGAAATCACATCTGTAGAAATGCACACCCGGCCGGCGCCGCAGCGCCGCAACATTCTAAATTTGCCCGGTGGAAGTATGGCGTTCTTTTTACCGGAACTCAACGGATATTCAGACTCATCGTCACGGACTCCGACTCCACCGCGGACCACTTTTAATATCCCGCGCTCAACTGCACGGCCTCGTCCCAGCAGAAACGGTAGCAGCAACAACAACAACAACGACAGCAACGACAATGGTAGCAGGTATCGAATGCGTGACCTGATAATGCCGAGATTCCAGTCTGTACAGGGCGCGCTCTACCAGTTTCTAGCGGGGCTTCATTCGCGCGAGGACGACGATCTCCAGCGTGCGCTGCGGTTGTCAGCACAACAATACTCTTTTCCCTACCAGGGCACAAATAATAGCCCCAATATTGAAGATGCGCGCACGCTGCCTGTTCCAAAGGAAGTGCGTCCAGGTTTTACGCGTGCTATTGATCCTACCGACACATATGAATGCGCATGGTGCCGGGTCGAGCTCAACGAGGGTATTCCAGAGCGGACCAAGGCCAACGAGGAGGAATGGATAAAATCTTTTAATGGCACAAGTGATGTTGATAGACAAATGTCAAAGCGCATTTTCTTTTCCGGCTGCGGCCACGTTTACTGTGGCTGGTGCGTGAAACGCATTGTTAACCGGCCCAAGACGCGTGTCAAGAAGAAGCAGCGGCCGGACCCGGTCCTGGTCAACTCGCAGTACATTGCATCGTGCTGTGTGGACGGTTGCCGCAAGCCATTCCGCGGCAAATTTATAGAAATCTTCTGCTAGTGTCAGAAGAAACATCCATCAGCCGGCGCGCACCATGGAAATAACGGATCATGCATGTTTTGTTTTCTTATTATTATTGCTAATTATTTATTTATTTGTAAACTCTTTCTGTTTTATGCTCGATTATATTTATTAACTATGATGCATTGGTAAAGAAATTGACTAGTTTAATCCGCCGTTTTCACGAGCTCGAGAAGCTCGGCTGCAGGCAGTCGTGCACTCTCGGAGCAGCAGAGCAGTCGCGGGAGCACTTGTGTATGCATCACCGCGGTAGCACGCGGTGCTAGCTGCTCGAAACTGCGTTTCTGCGCCGGATCGACTCGGAATTGCATATGTTGGAAGCTTTCAACGTCAGCGACCTCGGGCCACGTCTCGGTGGTAGGCACACCTAGCGTCTCAAATATTGCCCCAATCAAAGCAATATCACTAGATTTTGAGTTCTCGTTGTGAAAGGGAGATATGGCGCTGGCGGTGCTCTCTGAGGCGTAGAGCTGGCACGCAATGCATCCAACGGCCCACATGTCAAGCCGGGCGCCGTAGTTCTCAATGCCAAAGAGCAGCTCTGGCGCTCGGTAGGTACCTGAACCTACGTCTGTAATTTTTTGGTCGACAGGCTCCTTTCCGTAGTTATCTGGTCCCAGCCACGCAATGTCAAAGTCAATCAGTTTCAATTGGCTGTCGGCCGTGTTGCCTGTGCCTGTGAACATTAGGTTTGCCGGCTTGATGTCGCGGTGGATCACGTCTCTGCTGTGAAGAAAGTAGAGTGCGTCCGCTAGCTCGTTCATAATGCGGTCAGCGCGCGCAATGGGGAGGGTGTTGGCGCCATCCGGCCCACGGTGGTGCTTGAGTAGAGTTGTCAGGTCGAGCTCGTAGAAGGGCAGCACGATCGTGAGCTGCTGGTCCAGCCCGTCGTCCTCCATCCAGTCGTCAAGGAGCTCGGTGATGTGCGCGGGCCGGTCTGCCAGAAAGCTGCGCAGCAGGGCGGCCTCCTTGAGCGCGTCATGAGGGGGCCGTAGCTCGTCGGGGATTGTGGTTTTAAGAGCGACAATTCGGTTGTTGCTGAAAGTGTCAATGGCGCGGGAGACATCGGCGTAGAGGCTGGACCCGACAGGGCCCTGCTTGACGTAGCGTTCGGGCATGGCAAGAGGTATATATCACTGGTACACAAGGAGTGGTGATCAGGATGACAACAAGGCCGGGCCTTAACGTGGGGTTGGAAAATGCGCGGTCCGCGGCGGTTAGGGCATCCCCGGAAGCACGCTTGGGAGGAGGATCTTTGTTTGGATAGTACCGTCGGTTGCTCTGTGCAACTTTCATCCTTCACGCCAATTCCAATCATTGCTAACAACGATAACAGCACCAACACCAACCACAAAACCCACTAAACACATACCCGCTTCCATCTGTAAGAAGAATGACAGTAACGCTCGGAGGCTGGGTCGAGATGGAGACCCATGATATCGGCACGTCTATCTACAACGAGCAGCCACTCACTGCCGACAAACGCGCACTCAAATGCCGCAGCCTTGATAGTGCCATAGCTGCAAACGACCACTCTGCCTTCAAGATGATGGCCATGTCGCGCGAGGGCCTTGTCGCGGCAAAGTATCGTCGGGTTTTATGGCCAAAGCTGCTGGGCGTCGACCTGCACGGACTCGAAGAAGATGAAAGCGACGCCATTGAGGAGTCCCAAAGCGATGATACCCAACGTACCCAAATTGGCGATAACGACTCCATCAGCAATGATGAGGAAAAGAAAGCTGAAAGTGGGGCCGCCACCAGCACTCTCGAGGGCGGCTGGCGCGCGCTACCGCCGCATCCTGAAGAAGAACAAGTTCGACTTGACGTGAACCGCTCATTTGTGTTCTACCCGACGTTCGCGAGCAATACTGAGCGCGAAGAGCGACGCCGTGACTTGTTTGACGTGATTACATATGTGCTGCGTCGCAACCCAGCACTCAGTTACTACCAAGGCTACCACGACGTGGGCCAGGTGCTGCTTCTTGTACTGGGACGCCCACTTGCAATGCGTGTACTCGAGCACGTCTCTTTGTACCTGCTGCGCGATTTTATGCTGCCAACTATGGATAGCTCCATTGATCACCTTCGCCTTTTGCCCGCCATCATTGGGGCCGCAGACAGTGACCTTGGCCAGCTGCTTGCTGGGGTTGACCCCTACTACGCGCTATCCTCAATTATTACTGTCTTTGCGCACGATATGGACTCGTTTGACGACATTTGCACCGTGCTTGACTATGTATTTGCATCGGGCAGCATGGTTGTCCCGCTTTACTTATACGCGTCAATGGTCGTGAGTCGAAAGGCGGAGCTGATGGCGCTGCAAACAACGGACTGTGACATTTTGCACTCGGTGCTCTCGCAATTCCCGTCTCCCATATCACCGGCGCTACTATTTGACGTAATGGCGCGCGCCTCAACACTGCTAGAGGTATATCCTCCGCAATATCTAGATTTGTGGAGCGACATTTCGGAGTACTCGGTGCTAAAGACAACAGCCGCGCCGCAGCCCCCTGGTCGCCGCTACAGCACGACTTATGATTTGGACTCGCATTCTATTGACTCTTTCCGGACCCGGCTTAATAGTACAAGCTCGATGCAAAGCTATGTGACTAAGGGATCCGAAGAAGATAAGGCGGCACTCGAAAATGAGACTGGTGCCGACGATGAGACTGATAGTGATAGCGAGAAGCACAGCACCGCGCCACCGTCTCTTTCAGATTCCACCGCCACGATCCCGAACGAGCGGCCTTTCACTAACAGCTTTATGGAGTCCGAAAAGCAGCCACATAAACTTTTGGCACTGCAGATTGAGGAGTCTAACCGTAAGGCGGCCGAAAAGAAGCGTCTAGAGGACGAGCGGCGGCGCCTGGCAAAGCTCAAGGCCGCGAGTGTCAAAAACAAGGCTTCCACAGATACTGGCGGTGCCAGTCCGGCGCATATTGGAATATTTTCTCTGGCGCGCGTGTCCGAGCTGTTGCATGAAAACACACGCAACAGCAATAACATTGTGGTGCTCTCGCGGCTCCTACGCCAGGCAACCCGTGCATTGCTTCCGCGCACGGGGCTTGGAATTTCACTTTATGTTGGTATTTTTAGCGTGCTCATGGCCCATTACTACTTTAACCAGGGTCGCACTGAGATTTTTGCTGGCATGAAGCTGCACCTCCAGTTTGCTTGGGAAAACTTGATTACGCGCTACTTTTAAAGCCGCTATATTCTTTTCCAGTGGGATTGAGAATGTGGTGATACGACTGGGGCTTTGAACAATATGGTATTTCCACTCAATGCCTTGATCAAGAGAGTATTAGATGAGATTATGATGACTACGGTACACGATTTATATTGGTGATTTGCTTGGATGTTTTTCGATTCTATTTTTTTTTTTATGGGAACCTTCATTTACCGGCACTATTTTTTTTTCTTGGGCGCTCTTTTACATATATCTTTTAATTCTTTTATTTGGAGGATCTTCGTTGGATGACTGATGATACAGATCGCTTCTTACACCGCTTTTTTTTTATTATTATTATCTTTTGGGGGGTGTCTGGTTTCCCGGGTCCTAAAACCATAACTATAAATAAAATACATGATTTTACTATTCTGT